CACGAAGGGTTGGAGAAGACAGGTTTATTTGTGCACAATGGTTCAGAGCATTAGCATGACAGATTCTGAACACTGGGCTATTTCCAGCGTGTCATTCTTATACAGCTTGCCACCCACGCCTAACCCAATGGATGACTTCTTATCTACCTTTAACACACTAAACGGAGAAGTTCATGTCTAGAGACCACACAGAAGAAAACAAGAAGTTCATACAGAAGGCTTATCTTGCCTCACCTCCCTAGGCGGTAATATCTTACACCATCTGTGACTTTCAGTTGGCACTTCTTGTAAAAGGTTGTCTCCTTAGAATTGGCACACAGGTTACATGGATTTTAGGCACAATTAAGCACAATCAAATACTACAATACTCTATTCCCCTTATTGATATAACAAAACATTTTAAAAACATTTTCCTATGACATTTCCCATCTACCTCACCTACAGCTTTTTGCTGGTCTATAATTTAGTCACAATGTCAAAGAATGTGGCAGCCCCTTGGTGGGTTTTATCAATCAGAATAAAGCTGGGAGGGACTTTGGAGGTCTGGTAGTCCAACCCCTTCCTCAAGCAGGAGATCCTATATCAGGGCTTTTCAACCTTTTCACAGGTTGTTCCACTTTTAGGATATGGCAATATTTGAGTACAACCAGTCACCTAGCAAGGTGATGTACGACCATTTTTCACACTTATGACTGTTGCAGCATCCTCAGAGTCTTGTGATTTAGATTCAGATGCTTGGCAACTGATTCATATTTATGATGGTCACAGTGTCCCAGGGTCATGTGATCCCCTTGTACAACCTTCTGACGAGGAAAGTCAATGGGAAGACCAGATTCACTTAAGAACTGTTCCTGATTTAACAACTGCAGTGATTGACTTAACAAATGTTCCAAGACAAGTCATAAAATGGGAGAAAACTAATTTAAAATTTCTCACTTAGCAACACAAATTTTGAGCTCAGTTGTCTTTGTAAGTTGATGACTATCTACACACCCAATTATCTCAGTTTTAATGGGAAACTTGTGCCTGTTTCTCTGACATTCATCTTTGCACTATTCGATCCCCTTCTCTCCTTCTGGTTGACTCAAAGAAGCCGATAGGTGATTGCAGGGCCTTTGGGGGGGGGGGTGCGGCTTCTGCCATTGAAGTGGGGGCATGGGGGGCATGTTGGAGTGCTAGTTGGCTATCCCCAACAGAAATGCTCATGATAATAAAAACCTCAGACGGGGAAGAGCGCAAGCAGACGGGCGTCTTGCTCGGCTGTAGCTTCGGGGGGGCAAAAGGGGGCAGCTTCACCCACCCAAATGCTGCCCTCTCAGGAAAGCAGGATGAAAACTCTGAAAAACGACAAAGAAAAAAGGATCTGCCCTCTGCGGAGTAGGGACAGGGTTACTATGCTCCCTCTCAATCAGGTCTGATTTCCTTTCTTCCCCCTGCCTCCCCTGCTTGTAGCTGCCTCTGAGCCCCTTTTTCTTGGGAGTTAGCATTGCCAGCATCTCTTTCTCCTGAGCCCCTCGTGCTGGGAAACTGTTTCCACCCAAGAGCTGTTTTAACGTTAGGGAATCTTTGAGGGGGATAACCAACTAATGCTTTGATTTTCTTCGCTTTCTACAAAGCTGGGTAGAATCTCTAAAAAATGTTATTTCTGTGGTTTTTTCTCAGAAGAGGCTGTGATGCGGCAGCTGCTTCTTGGTGGCTGATTTAGGAAGGAAACTAACAAATGGTAGAAGAAGCTTGGGAGAGAAATGGAGGGGAAAAGAAGGGAAAAATGAACAGAGCTGCAGATGAGAAAAGAGGGAATGGGGAAAAAAGAGGAAGGGATTCAGGATGGATGTTGGACTTGACCAAGGCCTCAAGCTGCAGAATTCAATGACACCGAAGGGTAAGATGATGAAATATGGGAGGAGAAAAACTTCGTAATACCGTACTATAATTTTGTTAAACTGTAAAGGCCACGGAATAAAATTTGAGTTTCACCCTATCACACTCTCCCAAAGCGGGGATCAACTTTTAGACCAGAAAGTACACATCCCTCAACTAAAGCATTGCTAGTTTAACCATGGTTTCTGGTGCTGCTGCCCTTGGTGAAGTGATTCCAGTGGTTGGGTGGACGCAACACACGAAGCCGAAAGAAAGTGGCTGACGTTGGAGCCCAAAGTCTATCTTGGGCAGGTAGGACCACCAGGTGGACGTTTTGGCCAAAGGAAGCCATCAGTCTCCCTTTGGGGAAGTGGGGGTCTTAATACCCACCATGAGGTACTGATGACCCTGATGAATATATGTACACCCTCCCTAAACTATAAAAGAATAATAGAAAGCCATTTTAGGAGGACCCCATGTTCAGTCTGTGGTGGCCAAAGGACAATGTCCATGAATAACTACAAAGGTAAAGGCATGGATTATTAACAATTCGGGCAGGCAAATGGGGAGCAAAAGGGAAAGCCGTGATAGCACAGAGGTTAGAATGCAGTATTGCAGGCTAATTCTGCCAACTGCCAGCAGTTCGATTCTCACTGTCTCAAGATTAATTCGCCCTTCCATCCTTCCGAAGTTGGCAAAATGACCCAAATTGTTGGGAGGCAATATGCCGATTCTGTATACCGCTTAGAGAGGGCCGTAAAGCACTGAGAAGCAATATATATGTCTTAAGTGCTATTCCTATTCTGTCAGCCATCATGAATCTTTCTCTCTTCTTTACTTCTTTTTCCTTCATCCAGCACGTGACACCGGGAAAAGTGGACAAAGTTCCAGTTATTAGATTTTCTGCGTTTAGAAAGCCCTGCAACTGAGAAAGCGCCGGAAATTATGCTGGGTGGAGAAATACTTTGATAGAAGGTCCCCTCAGAGGAACCAGGAGAGACTCTTCAAGTGCTCTGAGTGTGGGATATCCCTACAAATGTGGAGAGTGTGGGAAGCATTTTGCTAAAGGCTGGGACATCGGAGCTCCTTAGCGTATCCACCAGGGAAAGAGACCTCAGGAAGGCCTCAGTGTTTTTCCAGGCCTCAGAACAGCCCAACTGAAGAGAAACCCCTGCAATTGTGTGCAATGTGGGCTTTGCTTTTCTCAAAAGTCAGAGATGCTTAAACATCAACAAATCCACACTGGACAAAAACCTTATCAATGTTTGTAGTGTGGGAAATCTTTTGTTTGCAAAAGAACTGTCAAAATCCGGAGGAAAATTCACATGGAAATAAAACCTTATAAATGCTTCGAGTGTGGAAAAGGTTTCACTCGGAGTTCATCACTTTGCAAACATCATAAAACACACACAAAGGAGGAAAGCAGAACGTGCCTAGAATGTGGGAAATGTTTTTCCAGCAAATCAGCCCTGCGGCGACATCAGAGAATCCACACTGGGGAGAGACCTTATGAATGTCTGGAGTGTGGAAAATGTTTTTCCAGCAAATCAACCCTGCAGCGACACCAGACAGTCCACACTGGGGAAAGACCCCATGAATGCCCGGAATGTGAGAAACGATTTGGGAGTTCTTCCAGACTTCGGAGTCACCAAAAGACGCACACGAGAGAAAAACTCTATAAATGTAACGATTGTGAGAAATGTTTCGCTCTAAAGAAAAGTCTTTTTCGACATCAGATAATCCACACAGGGGAGAAACCCTATCAATGCATCGAGTGTGGAAAATTTTTTCATATGATAGCAAACCTCAGACATCATAAGGAAATTCACAGAGGGGAAAGGAAATTCAAATGTTTAGACTGTGGGAGAGCATTTATTCATTCAACTCATCTTAGAAGTCACTGGCAAGTCCATACAGCAGAGAAGACCCATAAATGCTCAGTGTGTGAGAAATCTTTCACTCGGAAAGACAGACTTTTGATACATCAGAGAACCCACATTGGAGAGAAACCATATAAATGTCCGGAGTGTGGGAAGTCTTTTTTGTGCGATGAATATCTTAAAAGACACAAGAAGATTCACATAGGAAAGAAGCCTTACGAGCGTGTAGAAAAAAAGAAAAATGAAATGTGCTCAGAATGTGGGAGATGTTTCTCCCAAAGGTCACACCTAATTCTACATGAGAAACTTCACACTGGA